ATTCTCTAATATTTAGTGTCAGTATAATTTCTCATCAACAAAAGTGAACCTTAATAAAATGAATACAACATATGACTGTTTTCCTTCGACCCTATGCAAACTAGGAGATAGGCCCAATACCTCTAATGACAATGAATTCAAAAGTCATTAACTAAGATAATCTAAGATCAAATGAAACTATTGAACAAGTTAATATTCTGCATTCACCCAAAAGATCACACTTTATGAACTTAATGTGTATTTTTTCCAGTAAAATATTTAGAGTTTTGTGTATGTTTATTTAATTTTTGGTTCAATGATTTTCAGAAAGTCAAAGCATTTTTATGTGCAAATGAAGTTGAGTTTGAGCACACTGTTGTAGTGACTATTTAGAAGTTTAAATTTATTTAAGCCATTAGAAATCAGAAGATAACTAGTGAAAAATCTAGCCATAAGGTAGCCATAATGGTAATTAGCTTATTCTAAATTACCAAAAGTTTAGGCACTAAATACTAACTCACTAATATAAGAAAGTAATCAGATGTACTATTGAATTATTTTAATTGCTAGCAGTTTAGAATTATAAATAAGAGTGACAATTATATTACATATCCTCAGTTAACCAGAAAAATTGATTAAACAACATCATAGTGTTCATAATAAACTTTACTATTCATCTCAAATGTATTTCTTTGCTTTGTCAAAAATGTAGGTTATCTAATTGCCTGAAAGAAAATTTTCCTTTTGATTTTCCCCTAGGACAGTGCTGTTATATTTTACGTCGATTTGTTTTTTTAACACTCCATAATTTTGAAAGTGGCCTGGCAGGAGCCCAAGTATATGAAATGAAAAATGGTCCTTGGGTCTATTCAGAATTGCAACACCAAATCTTTTAAATCACTTTTATATGTGACGTTTGTGTTCTATTCAGCAAAGGGCCACACTACTCACTATTCTGGTTGTTGAAATACTGAATAGGTATTCTCCTAAGACACAGATTTCTCAGGGGGATATTTTACATGAAATAAGACATGTCCAGATTCCTCCATCAATTCTTTGTATATCTTCAAATGCAAAGAGAAAATTCTAATTAGGGAACCAATGATTTGAAAGCAGTCATTTTTTTCTGTCCTTATTTCTAATATTTATTAATGTCTGCTTTGTGTTTTCACAATAACTTTCATTTGCATTCTACTTTACAGACTACATCTGAGAAATATGTATGTTATCAGATAATGATTCTCGTTTTGTAGTAAGAAAAGTAAGTGCAAGAAATTGTGGGTCGAGTGACTTTTCAGCCCCCCCAGTACCCTGAATTTGGGGTGTTTTCTTCCCCTCCTCATTGCAAGGATTTCTATCTCTTTCATGCATTACTTTTGAGATTCCAAATTATGTGGAACAATTTCTTCAAATTATACAATCATGTTTTTGAGAGATTTCCTGAAATTTCTATTTAATTTGTAATGTTAATCTAGCATGTATGTTTTAATATTGGAAAGGTTAATTCCTTACTATCAATTACTTTCTATGAATTAATCCAACATTGTTCACCTTTCTTAATAGTCAGAGTATAACTCTATAGGTAATGAGGTTGCATTTGTAATTAGCCATTCATAGAAATCCTGGAAGAATATTTTATGTCTAGTTCACAGAGCATGGCAACATTTTAAATTTGATTTTGGAGTGCTCTAACCAAATCTTTGAGAACTGTAACTCGAAATGAAACCTGCTAGCTGTAAGTCCTTCACATAGCCCAAGGGCTTGTTTGGTTTTGATTAGTTTTACTAGACTTCATTTGGTTTCAATTAAACCTTGAGACAGGCCAGTGATTTTCATGAAAAATGTGGTTTTCTTGAGTTAGAAAATAATTCTTTTGTGTGGAAGACTGTTATGTCTTTTTGCATTGGAACACATATCTAGTCAAAGACAATTTCAGAAGGTTTTGTAATCAGAATATAAAGAAATTTTTATTTATTGTACTGTTTCATATTATGTTCTTGAATATTTCTTCTCTTTATTCTTATATTACAAAATGATAGTTACTCTGTATGTTTCCAAAGCAATAGTGAGAAATATTTGATTATATAAATGTAACTACTGTTTATATTTAGCTCTATATTATGGAAAGCCATTGATTTAAAAATAAGCAACTATTCTGGTGAGTTCAGGAAATATTTTAATCCATATGCTATTAAAAGTCTTTTTAATATCACATGATCATAGGTTGTAGAGACCATATACTTAAATTTTAAGTCTTTTATTATCAAAAAGTTTGCCAGTTTAATATTACTGAATATTAGTTTAAAATAATGCATATTATCCTTTTGTAAAGGAAGGATGAGGGTATATAACTATATTATTTACACTAAAGATGAAAAGTGTGGTTCATGATCCTTATAGAAAAAATCCAATGATTTAAGTTCTTTTGTTTTCCAAATATTTATTTCATATTAAAGAAGATTATTTGGTTTCTTAGAGTCTTAAGTTGGGTAGCAAAGATAAATATAAAACAAACTCAAAGTAGTGCTATTGTAGGTAGAAGATATAAGCTTTTCTTTCATTTAATTCTCAAGACCCTGGCTTCAGATACTTTGATTTTTACCCAGAATCATCACCAAAAGTCCCTGATATCTGTATAAGATTATGCCAAAAATAATGCAGTTATAAGTGCAGGACTTGTGTATAAAAATTAGACAAATGAAAAATCAACATTACCACAATGTTTATAATCTTAGAATCAAATGAAGAAAAAAATGAATATGTGACTGTTCATTCCATTAAAGACTACACAATTTAAAGTTGGCAAAAAAATTCATAAATATTGTAGAATTTTATATTTACCACTCATAAGCCAAGAACAAATCACCTCTTGAATCAGTTTCTTGTAATTCTGTTTACTACAATGAATATTTCATACTTATGATTTTTAAAATTGAACTTCTGAAGTATTGCAATCCAAAATTCAAACAAGCTCAATAAATTCCTCAAATATTTTTGTTGAGAGTTGTTTATTAATACCTTATGTGGTGACATAAATTAAAATTAATGACATCTGGCAACGTGTGAATACAGTTTTTTATATATATTTCATTACATTTAAATGAAAACAATAGGGGTAAATATAAAGCACCAATTTTCATATTCAACCTGCCCAGAGTTTTAGATTCTGTGTGTTCGGGATATTCTCTTTCCTGTACTTTACTTTCTTCAAATGGAAAGAACTAGAAACTTTCAATGATTGATTTTACTTCTAGCATTCTATTAGTTTAGTTTATATCAATAAGCTTAGAATTATACATACTTTATATCTTTTGTATTTGAATTTTTAAATTACATTTGACCTTGTAAATTTTAAATTTATCTTGAAGCAAGTAGAACTAGTCATGTTGGCAAATTTATTTATTTCATATTTTAATACTGCTTCAGAATTAAATAATGAGTAGATATTATTATCTTTATAGACCAAGAACTGCCTATTGTGCCAATAAAGTTTATTGAGGCTTCTCAATTTACCAAAACTAATCAAGACTCTAGGGTTCTATGCATAAGAAATTCACAGATGAATAAGAAACACTTTAGCCTTAAGTTCAGTCTTGTCATATGGAAATGATCAAACAAAAGGCATTGCGATCAAAATTTTATCAGTTCAAGTTTTTATTAGCAAATCCCGATTTTATTGACATGGAATTATCTCAGATTACCAAAAACTTAAATGAAAGCACTTCTTTCATTGCATAAAAAAATTAGAATAGTATGTTGAGTAAATGCATACATGCTATGTATTTTAGCATGTCCGTCAGAAGATAGATTGATAGAACTATTTTTCACATATAGAGAAACAAACTTGAACAAAAAGAGCTCATGGTCTTTGTATTGAATGACCTGGTCTTGAAAGAAAAGGAACAGGAAGGTATTAACCAACAATTTTGTGAGTGTGGGAGAGTTGCATCTCATAAAATACCTACCTACTGCTTTCAAGATTGCAATCATCATTGAGATGGAGACAATGAATGGTGATTGACTGTGGGAAATGGAAAGATCCATTACATTCACCACTTGTGGGCACCTGACTACTTATTTTCCTGGCTGGATTAAAGAGAGGATGAGGAACCTAGGTTTTCTAAAGGTAGAGAGACCTCCCAACATACCCATATGGTAAACTGAAAAGTAATTATTTTCTTGTCTTATTTTACTCTTTATTATGGTTATATAAAAAACTTTACTTGCAAAAAAAAAAAAAATAAAGGTATGGCCAAGTCATGGGATCAACTCGGGATTTTATTATAACCCAGATTTTGGATAACATATTTTCTCAAAATGTCTAGTAGACTGAATTGATTCTCTGGCTTCTAACATAAACCATCAGAGCCAAGAACACGTTAGTAGAAGCAAACAGTCACCAAAAGAGATTTGGATTTATTCTTTCATCCTGGTTTTAAAGGAAGACTCTTTAAAAAGGCAAACATCTTAACTTAGAAAATTTCAGAAATCTTTTTTCCAAATAAAACTGAGAAATCTCCATACTTGTAGCTCAACCTATCGGCACATCCCATTTGCACAGGGGATTCCCAGGCTTAAGACTACTTAAAGAGAAAGGAATGTCAAATTGAAATAATCTGTATTTTGTCTTCAATAAACTCTTCTAAAACAAGAACCATAATACAACATCTTCTGTAATGGAGCTTCTGCAATAATGTGAAATAGATAAATATAGACTTATCTAGAAACTAATTAGGTATATAATTTCTCTAAAATAGAAAAAATAACTTTCTGGTTTTTTCATTTAAGAAGTCACAATAAAATGCAAGTTGTTATAACAAGAAAGAATTGTCCCTTTGCCAGTTTCAAAGGCTTTCGAGTTATTAGCATTTCAACCTTACATTTTTTTGTGGAGGGAGTGTTAGACTGGGAAGTAAGTTTTCCTTAGTTTCAGTCTTGAATTTGGTGTGTGTTACATACATTATCTTGAACATATTCATTCAACTGTTCTAGAAGAGATTATTAATGTTAATTAAATATACCTTGTGCTCACCAACATTTTTCAGGCATCCCCTGTGGTTATGTTGGGATTATGTGACAAAAGCAGGATGTTGATGTAAGAGATGTTTGTCATTTCCAGTCTGTGGGAGTTGAATGAACCAGGTTTAGTTTTCAATGATATCTGGCATTTGCAAAGAAGAAAAAAGCGACCTTAAGACTTCAAGGTGCAAGATGGAAGCAAGTATATCTCAGGGTTGTACAAACAGGAAGAAAATTATTTGCTCATTGTGAGATGAGCCTTTGTTGTTTCAAGACTCTCAGATCTGGGACTTGTTTGTTGTCATAGCATAACCAATCTTTCATTGACTGGCATCTCTCTGGGAATCATTGTAAACTGAGGGATTTGGAGACTCATTAATTCTGTTCCTATTTATATTCCTGAGTATCTTTCTGGGCATATGACCTTCATTTTATAAGAGAAGAAGAATAGAAGTTTGGGGAGAACTAAGGTCACAAAGCAAGTTTGCAAGCCATACTGTACAATATGATTTCCTTGTGACCTTGCAAGTGTATATTCCCCAGCTATATATCTCTATAACCCAGGAGATAAAGTTTAAGATCATTTGAATTAATCATTAATACAATGCCAAAATGAATCGGTTCTCCTATTTAATAGATGTAATTCTCAAATGCAATGAATGTTAGAGCATTCAAGCATTCAAGTTCATGACTTTGACCCAGAAACTTATGCACCGGATTATAGATATATCTAATCAGATATATATTATGTCTATATTCAATTGGAGGGGTATTCAACTTTTGCTTTAAGATGCTTCTTGAACAAAATTTTATGGTAGATCTCAGGCCTGTTTTCACATAAATTGCATTTAGTAGCATAATGTATTTGTAACTAGTTGGTAGTTAATCTTACCTATAGTCTCAGAGATACTCTCCAGATTGTAAATTTACCTTATGTTAGATACTAAAGACTATGTTTCAGTTGCTCTGTGACTCAGAATTCAAGCAATAGAAGTACTGCTTTTCATTGAGATGGGTGAAAGAGAGAATTCACTAAAATTTAATAATAGACAGTCTCTTTGAGTCTCAAATTCAGGTGCATTGAACAAAGAACAAGAAAGAGTACATTGGAGCAGCAGTGGCAGCAGCAGCAATCAACTACAGAGGAGAGGAATGGCATAAATAGAGAGAAAAACATAACAGATCAATTGGCATGGAAAAATCTGTATATCAGAAAAATATCCTGATCTTAGGTGTTCAGAGGCTGTACCGTGAACTGGTGTTTAAAATGTGTTTTGTGTTTCTCATCTGACAACTGAGTGCTGAGATAGGCACCACCAGAGGAGACCATGCTGTATTGTTGCTGTGGGAACCCAGGAGAACACAGCAATCATTGCCATTTTGTCCTGGAAAGTGTCTACTGTGTGGCTTAGGTGTCCGTAACAGAATGTGAGTGAAAGGTACTGTACTTAGGTAAATTTAAGTCAGAAAAATTGAGGAGTGTGCAATTCACTTTTCCTTTGAATCTAGACTCACATGACCAGCTGAGGAGGGCTGGGAAACTGAACAGACAGTCTAGATACACTATGGGACTAGGTCTGAGAAAGGAGTATTTGTGGACAGTAGAGTTTATGAGATTGTGGAGGGCTGACTTTCCTGCCACCTATTCAGAATTCTTGGAAGGCTCCTGAGATCCAGAAGCCCTGTAATGATCAGCATCTACCTGACTCTAGAGTGTCTTGGTCTAATCTCTGCAGAGAAGATACAGTCCAACAAAGCCCCTAAGTCAGATAGAACTAAGCCCCAACCACCAAAACTTCCCTTCTAGAATTCTGCAGCAGCTCCACCCTGGGAGTTTCTCTGCAGATGAAACTCCAACTGACAATACTTTCCATTGTGATTTACCTTTTACAGGTAGAAAGGGAAATGAGAGCTATTGCCACCAGTTTCACTTTTAGGCCACTCCAGCTGGCAGCTCTGTAAGGAACAGAAAAGACATAAAGGAGTTAACACTTCCAGCCCTTGTGCACATGTGTTTGCATGCATATGTGGACATTCTATCTCTATATCTCTCTCATTCTCAATACATAGCCCAAGAAGAAACAGAAAGAAGTAAAGGGCCACATGGATAGTGATGATGTATCCTCAGTGACAGTTTTGATCACCTCAGTAGAGACAGTTGGTGTTCTTGCTGTGCTGATTGATTTGTGTAACACACATGCTCACACACACACACACACACACACACACTCACATTCACACACATTTTCTTTTTTTCTCATGTCTAGCATTTCTTGCAATAGTTGTTTTACCTTGCCTTATCTTTTGAAGGTTAAGATTTTATGTTTACTTTTGTTTTTGTTTTTATAGATATCTTTCCTTCTCTTTTCTCCCATTAAAAGCCAATTTTTTCCCTTTGCTTTGTTATATCTATATTTTTTCTTTACAGCTATCACTTGCTGTATATCTTTTGCATTCCCTCTGTTCATATTTTTGAACATTGTAAACTTCTTTCTATCTTCCTATATTATTTTCTTTTCTCTTAATAAACTGAACTTTAACCATTTTTAGAACCATTTTTTTTATATAAATCCTACACACTATTTATGTTGTTGCAATCATTAGCTCTATGGATAACATAAACAACATGTGCTTTTTACTCTAATGCTAGATCTAGTTCACAGTTATTTGTTTTTGCTGTTGGAAATTGATGACTTAATCAGTGTCATAGATGTTATAGTAGACACTATGTATTTATTTTAATGCTGTATATTGTTCATTTCAATTGTTGTTATTGTTTGTTTCCCCCTTTTTTCTGAAGTGCTAGAAGTCTAGAAAAACACTACAGATTCACAGGGTAGAGATTGTTGCTAAACTAGACCCAGACAAAAAGACAGTTCACCTTCTTGCAGAAACAAATTTACCTAACTCATTAAACACACTCAAACTTCAGCTATAATTTAATACAAAGAATAGAAGAGACAAAAACAACAACAAAAAAAAAACCCAAAAGCATTAAACTAACAACTAGTTTGCAAGTGAAAATAGATATGTGGTGGGGGCGAACCCTCAAGTCCTATTCAAAGAAATCTACTCCTACAGCAAAAATTAAACAAACAAAAAGTTGGAGATATCACATATATGAGGAGTCTCAATCTAGATCAATCTTGAATATTTTGGTTAAAAAAAAAAAAACTCCCTAAAAAGTTCTACACATAAGAGTTAAAGAGAATCTGTCCCAACAAATGCATTTAACCCAACAGAGGAATGTAAGAAATATGAAAAGAGACAGTAACATGACACTTAAAGTTCATAATTCATCCACAACTGACTCCAAAGATATTGAAGTGGATAAAATATCAGATAAGAATTCAAAAGAGTGATTATAAAAATGATGAATGAATTCCAAGAGATCATAGAAAAAGAGCTGAGTGAATTAAGGAAGTCAGAACAGGATATGAATGTGAAATTCAATAAGGAGAAACAGATGTTGAAAAATAACCACATAGAAATCATGGAAATGAAAGACACAATAAATCAAATTAAATGTTTAGTTGAAAATGTCTCAAATACAATAGACCATGCTGAAGACAGAATCTAAGGGCTAGAATACTAAGTGGTCAGTCTTGAACATTCAGACAGTATCAAAAAAGATGGGTAAGTAACCATAACCCAAATATACAAGAACTCTGGGACAACATTAAGAGACCAAACTTAAGAATCATTGGAACTGAAGAGGGCTGTGAGATGCAGACTGGAATGGATAACCTCTGCAGGGAAATAATAATAGAAAATTTTACATACCTTGAGAATGAGAAGGACTTCTAGATACAGGAGGCAATCAGAACCACAAATAGACAAGATCAAAAAAAGAACTCTCTACCACACATTACAGTAGAATCCCTAACATACATAACCAGAATAGATTTTTAAAACCTCACAGAAAAACATAAGGTCACATTTAGTGGCAAGCTAATCAAAATTACTTCCAATTTCATAGCACATGCCTCAAAAACCAGTAAGTCTTGAAAAGATGTTTTAAGCCATGAAAGAAAATAACTTTCACTCAAGATTGCTATATCCAACAAACCTATCCTTCAGAATCAATAGAGAAGTAAAAACATTCCAAGATAAGCATAAACTAAAATAATTCTTGACTATTGGGCTAACATTACAGAAAACACTCAAAGAAATTCTTAGCAAAGAGAAATCAAAAAGAAACCCCCAAAATAACAAATGGACATATCTCATTTGAAGCGTAGCTAAGCAAATGAGAAACAGAATCAGATTAAATATTAGAAATAAGTGAAAATTGCAGTAATTATAAAAATTTGTCTATTAAAAACATTGATGTAAATGGTCTCAACTCTCCAGTTACAAGATTTAGGCTGGCAGAATGAATTAGCAGATTACCAACTATGTACTGTTTACAAAAGACTCACTTTTTAGGAATATAGCCACAAACTGAAGGTAAGAAATTAGAAATTGATATACCATACAAATGGAAGCCCAAAGCATGTTGGAATAGCTCTTCTTATATCCAAAATGTAGACTTTTAAGACAAATATTAATCAGAAGAGACAAAGAATGTTACTTCATACTGGTAAAGGTAAAACTCCAATAAGAAGGTATAATGATGGTAAGTATTTATGCCCCAAATGTTAGTGCACCCAGTTACACAAAATGGACACCATTCAAATTAAAGCCTAAGAATCCAGTACAATAAAACTGGGTAATTTCAACATACTTATCTCATAAATACATAAGTCATCCACATACAAACTCAGACTCTTCCAACCTAAAAAAATTATAAATCAAATGTACTCAACAGAAATCTACAGACTATTTCTTCTAACAACAGCTGAATACATTTTCTTATCAGATTCTCATGAAACCTTCTCCAAAGGAGATCATATTTTAGCTCATAAGCCCACTCTTAGCAATATAAAAAAACTCATAATTCCTTGAATCTTTTCTGATCATAATGGAATGAATTTAGAAATCAACACCAAAAACATCCTACATAAACACATGGAGATTAAACAATACACTTTTGAATGATGAAACTTTGATAGAAGAAATAAGGGAAAAATTTAAAAATTCTTAGAATCAAATTAAAATAGTGATTAAAAAAAACCCCAAACTTCTGGGACACTCTGAAGGTGGTATTAAGAGGTACATTTATAGCTACAAGTATCTACATAAGAAGATCAGAAAGATCCCAAATAAACAACTTAATGATGAAAAACAAGAAAAAACTAATTCCCAAACCATAGAAGAAAAAACTAATTCCCAAACCATAGAAGGAACAAAATAATTAAGATCAAGCATGAAATTGAGATTAAAAAAATAACATGAGGCTCAATGAAACACATAGTTGGTTCTTTGAAAAGATAAACAAGATTGAAAAGCACTTAGTCAAACTAATCAAAAGAAAAAGACATAAAACAAATGAATAAATTAGAGATGCAAAAGGAGAAATCACCACAAACATCATAAAAACCCAGAGGATCATTAGGGACCAATTTGAAAACTTATACTCCATAAAATTGGAAAACCAGTAAGAAATGGTTGCATTCATAGATACATATAACCTTTGAAAATTGAATTAAGAGGACATAGAAACCTAGAAAGATCAATAAACAGCAATGAGATAGTGGCTACGCAGTCAGAGGGGTACCTGGGTCCTTGAGGCTGTACAGTCATAGAGACTACTCAGGTCATATAGGATTCGAAGGGTATAAATATAAGCAGGCCACTGCATGACTGTGGACCTTAGATTATGCAGGTCATAAAGACTATGCATGACATAAGGCTATGCAGTTCCTATAGCCTCTTGATGTAACTTAGGTCAAAGAAGCTGTGAAGGTCATAGAAGCTACTAATGTTCTGCTGGTTGCTAAGGTAATTTTGGCTGCTCATGCCTTTGAGGCTATTCATATTTTAGTGAGATCACAAACAATAGAGGCTACTAAGTACATAGATTCTATGCAGAGATCATAAGGGCTTCTCAGGTCATAGAGGCTGTGCAGATCATAAAGGCTACACAGGTGATAGTGGCTACAAATGTCATTTTGGCTACTCGTGTCATAGATCCTATGCAAGTGTTAGAGGCAATGCAAGGCACAGATGCAACACAGGTCATAGAGTCTACACCAGTAATGAGTTGACTAAGTCTATAGAGGGAGGCAGATCACAGTGGTTACTTAGTCACAGAAGTTACAGAGCTCATAAAGCTACTTGATCACAAATGCTTCTCAGTTCCTACAGGCTTTGCAAGTCATTGAGACAGCTCAGGCCAAAGAGGCTTCACAGAATAACTGGGCATATGCAGGCCACAAAGACTTGCAGGTCATACAGGCTAATGAGGTCATTTTTGCTACTCAGGTTGTAGACACTATGTATGTCATAGAGGCTATGTAGGTCACAGAGGCTATGTAGGTCATAGGTGCTAGGCAAGCATTAGAGACTATTCCAAATAAAGAAGTTATGCAGGTCATTGAGCTTACACACGTCATAGTCTCTACTGAAGTCATAGACGCAAAGAGTTAATTTAGGCTACTTAGATTAAGAAGGAGTAAAAAGGCCATAGAAACAGCAAAAGTCACAGGGGCAAGTCAGGTTAAAAAAAAAAAAAAAAAGACAATGAGAAAGAAACAGGAGTAAAAAGCCTTCCAAAAATGAAAAGCCCAGAACTAGATGGATTCTCAGCTGAATTTTATGAGATTTTAAACTAAGAACCAATGCCATCACTCCTCAAATTACTCCATGAAATGGAAAGTGATGGAATTCTTCCAAATTCATTATATAAAGTCAGTATCACACTCACCCAAACACATGATGAGAACACATGAAGGAAAGAAAACGACAGACCAATATTCCTTATAGACATAAATGCAAAAATTCTTAATAATAGCAGCAAATTGTATCCAGCAATGTGTTAAGAAGAGTATACATAATGACCAAGTTGGTTGCATCACAGGGATGCAGGAATTTTTTAACATATACAAATCAATAAATGTAATTCACCACATATATAGAAATAAGGACAAACATCACATAGTCATCTCAATAAAACAAATGCAAAGAAGAACTTTGACAAAATTCATCATCCATTCATAAACACCAAAGAAACTAGGGATAGAATAAACCTACCTCAACATCATAAATGTTATATACAACAAACCCCAAACCAACATCTTAATGAATGGGGGGAATCTGAAAGTATTTTTTAAAAATCCAAACAAGACAAGAATGTCCATTTTCACCAATTCTATTCAATGTAGTACTAGAATTTTATCCAGAATCATTAGGCAAGGGAAGGAAATAAAAGAAATTTTAAAAAGTCAAAATGATCACTGTTTGTAGATGAAATGATCCTATACTTAGAACATACCAAAAGCTCTATCATAAAACTGCTAGAGTTAATAAATTCAGAAAAAAATAGCAAGTTATAAAATCAACATACAGAAATAAATAGCTTTCTTATATGCCAATAATAAAAAAGAAACCAGTTAAACAACCTCTTTCATCATAGCCTAAAAAAACAAACCAAAACAAAACCCTAAGAATAAATCTAACCAAGGAGGTGAAAGACTTCTGTAATGAAAACTGATTGACACTGAAGAAAGAAACCAAAGAAGACACTAGAAGATGGAAAGATCTCCCATGTTTGTGCATAGACAGAATTAATATTGCTAAAATGGCATAGTACTAAAGCAACATACATATTAAATGTAAGTCCTTTTACAATATCAATGATATTCTTCACAGAAGTAGAAAAAAATCAGTCCTAAAATTCATTTAGTAGAATAAAAAAACAAGAATAACCCAAATAATTCTAAGCCAAAAAAAGTAATGCTGAAGGTACTGCAATCTCTGACTTCAAATTATACTTTTGAACTATGCTAACAAAAACTGAATGATACTTGCTTAAAAACAAATACATAGACCAAAGATATAGAAGAGAGACAAGCCCACATAGATAGTCATTTCATTCTTGATGAATCTGCTAAAAATATATATATATACATTGGAGAAAAGACAGCTTTTTAAAAATATATTTATTTTTATTTTTTAGCTTTTTTATTGATTTTTTTAAAAACAAATGACAGTGAAATGCATTGCAATTCTTATTACACATATACAGCACAATTTTTCATATCTCTGATTGTATACACAGTATATTGATACCAATTCATGTCTTCATACCTGTACTTTGGATAATAATGATCATCACATTCTACCATCATATATAACCCCCTGCCCCCTCCCACCCCTCCATCCTATCTAGAGTTCCTCTATTCCTCCCATGCCCCCCCCACTACCCCACTATGAATATGCCTCCTTATATCAGAGAAAACATTTGGCATTTGGTTTTTTGGTATTGGCTAACTTCACTTAGCATTATCTTCTCTAATGCCATCCATTTACCTGCAAATGCTATGATTTTATTCTCTTTTATTGCTGAGTAAAATTCCATTGTGTATATATGCCACATTATTTTTATCCATTCATCTACTGAATGGTATCTAGGTTGGTACCACATTTTAGCTATTGTGAATTGTGCTGCTATAAACATTGATGTGGCTGTGTCCCTGTAGTATGCTGATTTTAAGTCCTTTGGGTATAGACCAAGGAGAGAGATAGCTGGGTCAAATGAGGGTTCCATTTCCAGATTTCTAAGGAATCTCCATACTGCTTTCCATATTGGCTGCACCAATTTGCAGTCCCACCAACAATGTATGAGTGTACCTTTATCCGAACATCCTCAGCTTTTAAAAATAAATGGTGCTGGGAAAGCTGGTTATCTGTATGTGGAAGAGACTAGATCCTTATGTCTCACCTTGCACAAAAGTTAATTCAGAATGGATCAAAAACTGAGGAATTAAACCAGAAACTATTCAAGTCTTAGAAGAAATCATAGGGTCAACCCTCCAACATATAGATTTATAGGCAATGACTTTCTAAATAGGACCCCTAAACTTCAGGAAATAATGCCAAGAGTTAATAACTGGGACTGAATCAAATTAAGAAAGCTTTTGCACAGCAAATAAAACATTAGGAATGAACCTACAGAATGGAAGAAAGTCTGCTAGTTACTATTCTGACAGTGGAATAATATCCAGAATAGATAAATATATCATCAAAATTCAAATAAATAAATTGGCAAAGGAACTAAACAATCACTTCTCAAAAGAAATACAAATGTCCAACAAACGTTTGAAAAACTGTTCAACATTGCTAGAAATTAGGGAAATGAAAATCAAAACTACACTGAGATTTTATTTCACTCCAGTAAGACTGGCAATCATCAAGAATATAAACATTAATAAATGCTGGAGAGGATATGGAGAAAAAGTAATGCTTTTACACTGTTGATGGGATTATAAGTTGCTTCAACCACTGTGGAAATTAACATGGAACTTTGTTAATAAACAAGGAATGGAATTACCATATGACCTAGCTATACCACTTCTTGGTATCTATCCTAAAGAATTAAAGTCAGCATACTACATCGATGCATGTAAACCTATGTTTATAGCAGCACAATTCACAATAGTTAAACTATGGAACCATCCTAGATGTTTGTTAATGGATGAATGGATAAAGAGTATATACACAATGGAGTTTTATTCATCCATAAAGAAGAATGAAATTATGTAATTTGCAAGAAAATGGATGATGGAACTTGAGAACAGAATGTTAAGCAAAACAAACCAAACTCAGAAAGTCAAACGTCTTGTTTTTGCTTATATGTGGGAGATAAAGAGGAAAAAAGGAAAGAATTTGTGGGAGAATCTCATGAAAATCAAAGGGCGAATACAAGAGTAAAGTGGCCAGAGTGGGGATGGGAAACAGAAAGGGAGGAAAATAGGATACAGGAGAATGATATTCACTAAATTATATTTTTCTACTGTGTGCATAAATTGATATATAACAACAATTCTCACCATTATGTACAAATATAATGCACCAAAAAAATATGAAAAAATAAAAGCTATGTTTCTAAAAATTTTGATTTTTTTTGCATCACTATCATTAACAACCAAGGGTATGTTATTGTTTCATATTGTTTTATATTTATTTAATTTATCTTTGCAGTGCTGGGGATTGAAGCCAGGGCCTCATGTACACTAGGCAAGTGTTTTACCCTGAGCCGCATCATCATCTCTTTGCCTATTTTAAAAAAATGAATCACATAATTTTTTTTTCTTGGAATGAAGGATCTCTTTTTCTGAGGTATAGAATAGAAATCAAAAGCACAGACTGAAAAACTGTTGTGTCTGGTTTAAAGATTGTCATACCAACTCTGTTACCTTTGGAAATCACTTAACTCATGGTGACTCAGTTTTTGTAGTGGAAAAATGGAAAATGATGATATCTCCCTCATCTGGTTATCTGGTGATAGAGACACACACACACTCTCTCTCTCTCTCTCTCTCTCTCTCTCTCTCTCTCTCTATATATATATATATATATATATATTGCACTATAAATAAATAAATATATTAATTGCACATTTTGAATCTTTTTGCTTTATCTTTCAAATTCAAAATAAAGCTCCATGTACTGTGTAGGTAAAAGTGATGAAGACAATTATTTGTGTGTATGTAATGGTGCTTTAACGGCAGTTCAGAGATCTGTAAACTTTTTCTATAAAGGGTCAAAATGGTAATTATTTCAGGCTTTTGGGACACATACTCAAGACCACCATTGAATAACAAAAGCAACTACCAATATCATGTAAATAATTGGGTGTGGCTTTGTTTGAATAAAACTTTATAAAAAAAAAACAGGCTCAGGCTGACTTTGGCTCACAAGTCATAGTTTGCTG